CCAATCCGCCACATGCCGACATTGCACTCTGTTCCAATCCTGTAGTTTCTGTCGCGCAAATGAACTGGTCAGTCTGCAACTAGCTTTACTCAGATGTGAGGTGTTTTGGCGAACAACTTGATGTCTAGTGAAGTGTGACAAGAACTACTTGTGCTTTTTTAAATCTTGAAGCAGCCTTACTTGTGGACATGAAGACCTTGATGGGCTCTAACTGATGTCATCATCAATTGTATATAGTTAAAGCTGGTAGACGTTGAGCATCCCACAACAACACAATGACACCAGAAATTAACTGGCTTGCGATCTAGCTGTCTACACCGCAGGAATGACCATAGAGTTTTTTTTCCATACATCATACAGCAAAAAAACAAACACATCCAAACTCTTCTGGTCTTTATACTGCCAGACCAGCCATGCAGATCCTCAGCCAGATTATGCTGTGGTCATACTTTGTGGCCAGGATTTCATCCGCGATCGTTGTGGGAGCTTTGGGAGGATGGACCAGGTTCGAACCAGATGTCCTCGTCGCCCTCATCGCAGCGGATTTAGATTTTCGCAAGCACACTGAGCCTGTGATCCGAGAGAAGTATGGCACAGCAATCATTGACATTCCGGAGATGCATGAGAACCTGAGCAGTGTAGCTCTTTGGATTGGAACGACCCACGCAAATCCATTGGTTGGTGTCGCCACTGCTCTTGACATGATGTTGGGACTGGATGGACATGAACCTGTCGTTGGGCTGATTGGTGCAAGCACATCTTCAGTCAGCACACCCATTGCTACCATGTCTGCGGTTCAGAAGGTTCCACAAATCTCGTTCTCTGCCACCAGTTTGACACTTTCCAACAAGGACTTGTACCCCTTCTTCTTGCGGACCCTTCCACCCGATAGCCTGCAAGCGCTCGCCTTGTGGAGTTGGATTGAGACCTTCGAAGTGCCTTCGGTGACCTGTATCTACACCACTGAAGCCTATGGAGAGCAGCTCTTTGATGCTCTGAAGACGCTCCAACAGATTGAGGGCCCCTCGGTCAGCCTGGTGGGACAACCTCTCCCCCTGGAGGGACGTTCTGCTGAAGATGCGCGACGCGTCGCGCGGGGTGCCAAGGAGATGGGCTCTCGATTTCTCCTGCTCCTAACGGGCGCAGGCATGAGTGGCCTCATCTTGCAAGCCATGCTGGAGGAAGGGATGTTGGGACCTGAGTGGCAGGTACTGGCCTCCGACAGCCTGAATTTTCTACGAACGTCCAGCCTTGCTGAGATGCCAGCAGGCCTAATGTACTTTGACTTTGTTGCAAGGGGGCCTTTATTCTCCAAGTTTCAGGATCTATGGTCAAAGCTTGAAGCTGAAGATATCACAGGCCCCGAAGCAACCGAGAGATACCGACTGGACCAGATGAGGGAAGCCTTAAACCATAGCAAAATCGCTCATGTCTTAGCAGATCACTGGCGTTCACTCTCGAGCTATACAGGCTTTGCTTTTGATGCTTACTATGCATTTCTGATCGCCATCAACCAATTACTTCAAGGAGGAGTTTCCCCAACTTCGGGCGACAACCTGTTACAGGAACTGCGAAGGACCAAGTTTGCCGGTGTCTCCGGCCAGGTGAGCTTTGATGAGAATGGGGATCGAGAGACCTCCTATGAGCTTTGGAACCTGCAACACGCTGAAGCTTCCGGAAGTGTCGGGACGGTGGTGGCTGTGGTGGGTGGAAAGTTCAGCGTCTCAAGCCGAAACTTCAGCCTTTACGGCAACCTCACCTGGATGGATGGGAGGCGTGGTAGGAAGCCGCCGCGGAGCTTGATGGAGTGTGGTCCAGGGTCGTACAACAGTGGAGGACGGTGCCAGACATGTCCCAAAGGCATGAAATGCCCTGGGGACTCGAGCACATTTCTAGTTTGTCCCAGAGGAATGTTTGCCAATACGACTGGATCAATTGATTGCAGGCCATGTTCCCCTGGCTTCTATGCCGGATTTGTTGGGTCGGAGATTTGCCATCCTTGCCCTCGTGGCTTTCATGCACCTGAGCCCAACGCAACCGAATGCATTCCTTGTGCGCCAGGCACCTACATGCCTTTTCTGGGAGGAGTTGCGTGCTTGCCGTGTGGAAAGAAACAACAAACTGGTCGTTCAGGTGCTACCAATGAGTCTGAATGTGAATGTGCCGAAGGCTTCTACATGTGCGAAGGTGAAGGCTGCAGAGCCTGCCTGGAAGGCCTTTCTTGTGCAGCAGGGCTTGAACCTCCTATGCAAAAGAAGGGCTATTGGACGCAAGCTCCTTCAGCAGTCCACCAGTGCCCGACAAGTGCCTTCAAAGGCTTTTACTTTAAAAACATCAACCCCAAATGTATCCAAATGTCTGTTCTGGAAAGGGTTGAGTTCCAGTTTAGTCCCAGTCTAGTGCCAAATTTTCCATCTCTTCTCAGGTGTGAGTTCTCCGTGCTGCAGTGCCGGGAGCTGGAATGCCCTGCTGGGCCAGCCGGTACGTGTGCCCCTGGAAGGGAAGGGCTTGCGTGCAACAATTGCAAGAAAAATCACTATCCCTTCTATGGAGGTTGCAAGGCTTGTACTGGAAGAGACTTTGTGCCCTTCATTCTCTTCATGATTGTGGTCGTGTCGGTTCTCTTGGCCCTGAGCTGTGGGAACCGACGGAAAACCAATCAAGAGAGTGTCTTGGCAGATGAAGACGAGGGTCAAAAGGTTTGTGCAACACCCTGGCAAAGCCTTGCAGGTTGATTGACTCCAATGGCAAGGACCACATTCTAAGGGTCGGCAGGCAGTTGTACCAATGCCTGTATATACATGGAGCTTGAGGCTGTGTTTCCAGCCTTCTTTGTGGTCACCAAGTCGTTCGGAGCACCAAGTCTGTTGCACAGGTGACGATGTCCACCCCACTCAAAGCAGCTGTCCAAGAACTGGCCCGGGTGTTTGCCAGGTCCTTCCAGGTTTTGCCAAGCAGGTCACGCTTCAGTTTCAACCTCTTCCATCAGCTTCGAACACCACCAAGCTGCACACAAACCCAAGGGACCCGGGCACTGGCACTTTCCGCAGGCATCGCGCGTGACTGCGCCGACTCGAGGTCTCAACGTTCTGACCGCAGCCGCAGTTACGGGGCAAGTCCTCATGGCCGTACAGGCCCAAGCGAATGGTCCTCAAGTCATCCGAAGAATGGCCATCTGAAACGACACATCTTGAAGGAAAGATCTTCTGAAACGACACATTTTGAAGGAAGGAATCTCTAGTCATAGAAAGAAGCATAGATTGTATAGATGAATCAACACCCTTGTTCATTGGAGACGTTCACTCATTTTACCCAGGGTTTTGGGCAGTTGGACTAGGATCTACCAGACCGTGACCAGATAGGGAAGATTCAGTTCCAAGGACTTGATTAAGAAGGTGTCTCCAGATTTGCCTGTTTCAAGCAATTTCGTTTTAATGTGGGCCCCCCTCCAACGGCTCAGTTCTTTTCTTTAAAGACTCTTCAGGGGCCCTCAAATCAGTCTTGGGAAGGTTGTCCTATTACCTGCAACAGTCGGTAGACGATTATCACTTTTTTAGAGAAAGGCGCCCCAAACCCAAACTATCATAAACTATCTATAATCTAGACAAAACAAACAATTGCTTTACATGCACGTGTACAGAAAAACACGGCCGCCCTATACTGAGGGCCCCCAGATCCTTACAGGGCTTCTGAGTTGGTTCTGTTCTTACCCAGTTCCGGTCGTTGGTCTCTGGTCTTCAGGCGTTGGGTTCTCTCCGTGAGTTGGCCTTCGCATGGCCTGAACCTGTGAAGAGTGTCATCGACTTGACGAGGCTCATGTGCCTTGAAATTGGAACGATTTTTGGGGGGAAAGGACGTGGTAGATGTGTTTTCGTCGTTCGTTTTCGCGTGTTTTCTTCTGATTTTATGGAACATGGAATCTGGACAAATCCGTTTGCATTCTACACTGCACACTTGGCTAGAGTGTTTTCTTTGGAGGGTATATCTTAGCATGAGGCAACAATGTTGTTCTCGAAGCTTTCTGCCTTTGTTGGGGGTCTTCAACATAAAGGCATCCCGCAGCTGGGGCACCATCCCTGCTGCTAGCGGTTCATGTCCCTTCCACTTCCGTCAGATAGTAACTAGTAGAACTGTTTGGAGAAATCCCTGGAAGTAGGGCAGTGCTTTAAAAGAACAATTGCGTTGGATGATGCCCTGCTTTAGCAGCTCTCTGCTCCTTTGGGAGGGAGTTCTATTCAGCAAGACCTCCTCTATCCCCTTCTGTCTTACCTTCGACTCCTAGAAGCTGACTCTTTTGCATTGCAGAACGGCAGCTGTGTCCTGCTGCAGAAAGACGCAGCCTCTATTTCTATGGGAACAAGCCTGCTTGAAATACGTTGCATTCTTGACAGCAATATGATTTAACTAAGCAAGCAAACAAACTAGCCCCGAGAAGATCCAAAGACTTACCATATATACATATATATATGTAGACAACCAAAACAATGTGCCCACAGTCCCACAATAGCCGCTAGCCAAAGGAAGAAAATGGTGTTGGAAACAGTTCTTCGTTTTCTGATGTATTATTTTCCGCTCTTGTCAGTTTCCCTGGTTATGTTGTATTTTTCAATGAGAGCAGACGTATGTGCACATGCCGCATACAAGTATCGGCACTCATTGCCCAGTGCTGACTGAGGACCTTCAATTTCGACATTATTCGCATTTCCTGCATTTACGGCAGTGACGACCCGATTCTAAAGTTTTTGAGCCAGTGACGTGATGCTTTGAGGAAGTTTTGATCTTTACCACAGAGTGGAACGCATCAGGGATCTTGTCTGTAGGTAGTAGTGGCCTTGGTTGTAGGAGGAGTCGGAGTAGGAGTACGAGTAGGAGTAGGAGTAGGAGTAGGAGGAGGAGTAGTAGTAGTAGTAGCAGTCGTAGTAGTAGCAGTCGTAGTGGGAGTGGGAGTGGGAGTGGGAGTAGTAGTAGCCGTCGCCGTCGCCGCCGTCGTCGTCGTCGTAGTCGTAGTCGTAGTCGTAGTGGTAGTCGTAGTCGTCGTAGTAGTAGCAGCAGCAGGAGTAGTAGTGGCAGCAGCAATAGTATGTAACAGCAATCAAAATAGGAATAGTAATAGTAACAGTAGCAGTATTAGTAACAGTACTGGTAGTAGTAATAGTTTTGGTTGTGGTTGCCGTGTTGTCGGTCCTTTCTCCTCCTCGTCCTCGTCGTCCTCGTCGTCCTCGTCATCCTGTTGGTTGGTGTCGTAGCCGTCATGTCATGTGGCCATCACTTTGCAGCTCGAGGTCAGGGATGTTGGTCCGGACATGATAGGAGATCCTTGTTGACGTGTTCCTCTGATGTGGGACATCATCTTAGAGAATAATCGACCTCACACATCCAATCACCACGGCCGGGACATTGCTCAGGTTGTTGTTTTGCCCCCTGGGATGTGTCTTCTTCTGCCTGATGGGATTCTGTGCGAAGCTTCGTCGCCAAGCAAAACCACTCGACCTCACCGTGAACCGCTGTGGGATGTTGCTCTTCGCCTTCTTCTTATCAATTACACTCAGGAACCTTGGAGAAAGGTGGACTTTGTTCTTGGAACGCTCTAGGACACTGAACCAAGGAACTTGCTTGACTAGCGAATGATTCTGAGGGAAAACTCTTCTTCCATGATTGTACTCAAGGAAACTTCCAAAACTGAACACTCTGGCAAAGTGAGAACACCATGTCGCTACTATATACAGTACTCCTCTCACCACAAGAACAGGGTCCTGCCTCGGACACAGCAAGAGGACTGGAGTCCTTTCGAGCTCAGGAACCTGATACCATTTCAGTGCGTGCCCAATCCGGATGGCAGTACCTCCATGGCAGCTGAACCTGGCATCATTTGCTACACCTCCGAAGAGACCTGACCGAAGCGTCTAACCCGGTGTCCAAAACCGAACACGGCGTCTTTCGGCGCCCGGACACCTTTCGACGCTTTCGTTCGCGCCGTTCGATCGTGCTTCGGCTCAAACCGAAGTATGAGTCATGAAAGTAAGGATAAGGCACTTGTTCCTACTAGCGTGGCACTTATTACTAATAGCTTCTTGTTACTACTAGTAAGGCACTTGTTCCTAGTAGCGTGGCACTTGTTTCTAATAGCTTCTAGGATCTTTCTATTTTTCGTCAGAAAAGATTTGTTGTTGGTTTGGAGCAAACAAAAGACGTTGCCCTGAAAAAAGCCTCGCTCAAACGCTGTGTGGTTGCTTTACTTGAAATTCCAATTCGTCGCCGTGGAGTTCGCGCCGGCGGGTTTGGAGGTTCGGGTCACGCGAGTGGGGTCGTGAGCCTTGAAACAGGGTCCAAATCAGCTAAAAAGCCTACGACTTTGGTACTTTGGTGTCAAGAAAAGTGCCTTGGTGAGTTCTTGGTAGTGTTCATCACACTCAGGGGTAGTATGCAACCAATCTTTAGCAGACGACTACCACAGAGTTCTTGTCACATGTAATTAGTGACTAGTATCGACTAGAGTGATTTTCTGGCTCAAGAAAGCTTTGCCAAAGAGTCTGACATGTATGTCTTTTTTTCCAAACGTCTCACGTGGGTCCTGCATTGTCCACAACGTGTGAGGATCATGCTCTCCTCGTGGTCCTTGCAATCGTCGGGCTCCTACAACCATTTTTTGTGTTGACCTGGGCGACCTATGCCACCTGTGCATTCCCCTCGCGCCTGGCGAGTGGCACGGGGCTGCGCCTGGTGCATCGCTATCGATTCCTGTTTCATCGCTTTAAGCCCGAATGTGGCTGGTCATGGCTGGTGCCTGTTCTTTTTGGGTGGGGTGGGCTTTGTTGAGTGGACATACACCTATTCACCTTATTCTGATACTCTCCCTATAGAACCACAAGATGTTCCTTCTATCTCAGATTTTCTTGGGTGGCTCGATGGCAGTAGATCCAGCACCACATTTTGAATCAATCTGCGCAAATTGAACTCGAACTGATGCCTCGAGGCTTCTACTATGGTCTCTTTCTTCTCTATCGCAATGGTGTCATTGCTTTGCTGCCCGCGGTCTTGGTGGAGGTGCCACAGTTTCAGATCCCAGTGACTGGAATTGTTTTATTGGCCAGCTTGGTGATACAGGTTCGGAAATACCCATGGAGGACTTCAGAGGCCAACTATGTGGAGCTGATCTTGACCCTGTTCTTGTTGGTGATCCTGTTAGGTGCTGCACCGCTATTGGAAGTGGATTTCGACGCACCTTCCTCTCTGCTAGGATGGCTGCTCTGCGTGCCCGTCATCGGACTCTTTGTGCCAGCCTTGCTGGCACTTTGGAGGGCTGTTTGGTCTCGCCTGAAGCGCCAGCAGAAGTTCGGAATCTTTTTGTGCCATCACAAGGGAGGAGCACAACCAGTTTGAAAGCTTTTGACATTTTTTGGAACCCCCAAGAAGGTCGCTCTCACAAGATGAGATGAGAGTCCTCAACTAGGGCTAGGGTCAGGAGTCCCGAAATGCAGGAGCTGGCAGTCTTTGTCGACTTTTGAAGATGAAGCTGGCGCGACACAGCTCGACCAGAGTCTTTCTGGACTGCGACCAACTGGAAAACTTGGATTTCTTGTTCGATGTGGTCCAAACCTCCACGCGCACCTTGGTGGTGGTGCTCACCCCAGAACTCCTAAGAAGAGTGTGGTGTGCCGGAGAGATCGCCACTGCCTACAAGCACAAGATTAACACGGTGCCTTTGGTCTGTGAGGGCTTCCGCGTCCTGAACGATGACGGGCTACAGGTCCGGGGGCATTGTTTCGACATGAGTGTATCGACCTGATGCAAGGGCAGCAGTGTTGGATGTGTAGCCATTGTCGCAAACCCACAGGCATTGTAGCGCGGAATTTGTGAGACCTGAGAAAGCATTGAGAAAGCACACGCCCAGTCATTGAATGTCGAAGTAGCATGATTCATCTGTTTGCTAAGTGCTTCCAACCGTTTGTAGCGAGCCACGTGATTTGTGACTGGGATCTCAAAGAGTCGCACGTGGACTGACTGTGAGGTCTTGCCGAGTCTTTGGTCTCCGGAGCAGAAGCAGGTACTGGCGAATTACGGCATTTCTTTGGAGGATGTGAACAGCTCTTATCGCTGGTTGCTGCATGAGTTGAGCCCATTGAAAATGCATCGTTTTGGCCCTGCCGGGGACCTCAGCAGGGAGACGGTGAAAAAGCTAGCTTGCGAGCGCGGAAACCAACACCATCCGAGCGGTTTACACAAAGGTGTATGCAGGGAACAGGGGGAAACACACATAGAATGACTAATCGTTTTGGCACCAGTGATGGCCCTGCTCAACAAGGTGGTGGTGGAAGACTGTTCCAGGTGAGCTGACTTGACTGTCACAACTTCAGCTTGTTGTGGTTTTGGATCAGCACAGACAGACACCAACGTTCCACCGTTTTCCCCCGAGGTCTGGAAGCGCGATGTGGCCGCTGTGGAGCTGCTGGTCCGCTGTGGGCTGCCGATGTCGGCGACCTCGGCGCAGATCTTGGCGGCGGCGCGGCGCCACAACCCCCGTGGCGCACGGATTTTGATCACCAGCTGCATCACTGATGCAGAGGCCTTGTCAACGTGTGAGGTCTTTCAAGATATGCTGCAAGTGCAATTGCAGATAGAGCCTGGGCACAGATATGCGCAAGCAACCCGTGTGTTTTGGAAAGCTCCTTTGAATGCTTTTGCGAGGAACTGTAGAATGTTCCATCATGTTCCATCTCTTTTTGGTCTTTTCAGGAATGCGCCGTGGTTCAATCCAGTGGACAGATGGTCAAGTGGAGGCCCTTTGCTTACTACTTGGTGGTGCTTCTTTTCCGGGGCATCTTCCAAGATCAACGACTCATGCAGATTTTGACCTCCGCAGATGGGTCTGGACGCGTCTTGGATCTGGTCACGGTGGTGGCAGACTCCCACTTTGATTTCCTGGGCCCCTTGGCTTCGCTATTAGGTTGGAGGCCATCGCTACTAGTTACTAGGGTGGCCATGTCTTTCATATCAGAGCATGACCTCGAGTCGGCAGGATCCCGATCATGAGGCATGTAAAGTCACTGGGACATTTGGCTGGCTTCTGAGGCTTGAACATGTCGAGCTTCCCGAAAACGACGACGGAGGACGGGCGCACATCGAACTTTGACTCTCCGAAACTGTATGAATTTCAGCAACCAGTGGTGGAAGCTGCTTCTTGGTTTGACAAGCCAGTGAGTGCCTCAGAGAGAGAGAGAGAGAGAGAGATCTGACCAACGCCGACGACGTCGGAAGAGGTGTTACCACTTATGAAGAATCTCTTTGTAACTGTTTCGTCTTTGATCATATGGCCAATGGGTGAGGGAGCGTTCTTCTAAACCACGTTGAACTTAGCTTTCCATGTTGAGGGCGTCCAACTTGGGGGCGTCCAATTTTGGGCGTGGGACGTTCGACCAGAACCGCAGAGGTTCTGATGTTTGGGGATGTTCTTCAGCGCTTGGTGCCTTTTTCATCATCCCAAGTTTGTCAACCTCTGTTTCAAATGTCATACGGTTGGGGCTTCGTTTACAAGAGAGATACACCCTGCCTCAAGAGTACCTACGACCTACGCAATAGCTAAAATTCGGAAAGGTTTTAGTCTCAAGATATCCTGATAGGACGCACAGTTTGTTTTCTCCACCTTTCATTTGCTAGCCTGGTTAGGCTTTCCGCCGGCTGTTGAATGTGGTGGCTTTGCCCTTCTCACCTATGGCCTCTGATGGCTTGCAGACGAAGCAAGTGGCGGAGATCGCACAGCGCTTCCGCCGCTACAAGGACGGCACCTGGGTGCCGTCGTTCACCGGGTGCGGGGTGTCGTTGTGATGATGCCAACGATGGTGTGAGGAAGTTGGGAACAGAAGTTCGAGAAGAAAGTGAGAAGGGTTGGCAGGTTTTGATCCTCAACCAGCCACTTAAAGCAGTGGGGCAATCCATTGAAGGTGCATTTGAAGTACTGGAATGGGACGGATCCAATTGCCAGTCTGCTTCCGAGCCTGCCAAACGAATTGAAGTTTTGGCACGGACATGAGAGGTCTTGTAGTACTCAAGGAATCGTAAGTTCCGATGACTGACATGGACCCCCCTAGCTTGTGGAGGAAGACAGTCCAGGGATCTATTCTCAGATTCTATGTTGGTGACGATTGCGTGCGTGCGTCGCAGTGTATGTATGTGGTCAACCGCTCCTGGTCAACCGCAGCCTGCGAGACCGTCCTGCGAAAACGCCCGGAGAGCATAGGACCCGACTGCAGCAACCCTGCTCGATGCGGCGGATGACCTGTTGGTGCCCCGGGGTGAAAGACCAGAGTCCGAGGACCGCGGTGATGAACGAACGAAGCATCAGGTGTTCTACCGGCCCAAGCCGGATGTTTTGGGATGTTGGATGTGTGCTTGATGTCCAGTTGGTCCACTTGGGCAGCTTGATAGCTTGATGTCCGTCCACTGGGCTTGGTCCAGTGGGGAGGTGAAGCTGTGTCTTCAGACCTCCTCTCCCCGGATCGGCGCTGCAGGACGTCCAGGCTTCCCCCAACGAGTCGGAGTCTTCGTTCCCCGGACGCAGGTCTTCGCTCCGGACAGCGGTGCAGTGCTGTGGGGGTGTTTTCGGCCTGAAAGAGTGGGAACGGGCGGTGTGTTGAGTTAGGGTTCGAGTTGTGGAGTTGTGTTTTTTCACACTTCCTATCACTCCCTGGAACTACCATGACAATGGCCCCGAGAGAAGACCATGTCCTCTGTGTTTTCAGGTGGTGCCATCCATTTCCATGTTAGTTCCACTCCAACATCAAAAGCCCGCGTCTCACACCTCCCACGTTCTTCCAAAGAACTCTCGACACCAATCCTACCACTTCCCGGGTTCCGCATGAGTTCGCCGGCTGAGGATTTACCTCCTGACCCTTCCAAGCTTTGAGAGCCCTGGAATCGTGTCCGGTGGGGAAGCGCATTCCCCGGATGTCTTGGAACGGAGCTGGTCCTTCTCAATGTAAGTCATGTGTTGCAGCTTCAGATTGGTGGGTTGAGAAGGTCTCATCGTCTCACCAAGTCGGGCATCCATATGCCATGTGGTACAATAGCACGTGTTTAGTAATGTCAACTCCGGCTGACCTTGATTTGCTGGTTTTCCCGTGGATGCTATTGCAGATGCAAGTTTCTGCAGCATTCCCAGAGCGTGCTGGCAGTGGGTCAACAAGCCAATGTCCTTACGAGTGAGCACGCTGCGCAATCAAGAATGTCCGTCGCAGAGCCTTGGCGCGGTTACTCTCCGGTAGAGGGAACAGCACAATGAGCCATGTGGCGCCACTCCAACATGTCCACGTAAGGATAGGCCAACCAAGCTCAAGCTGCGCCAGGATAGGCCAACCAACAAACCTCGGGCTCAGGAGCCTTGGATCCGTTTCCTGCTGACGAAGTCAGAGGTGCCCTGTGCCATTGGTGTCACGGTGAAACACCGCGTGGCTGCAGAAAAGGTGAGTGATGCAGCATGGAGTGGTCCAACAGCTAACCAATGGCCAGAAAACGTTTGACCGCACGAAGGATCTCGATCTTCAAGTCTTTCTATTGGCCATCTCGGATGCCGTTCAGCTCAAGTTTGTCCAGAGCACAGCAATGGCGTGGAGACCCAAGAAGATCCTCCTGGATGGGCGCTGCTTGCGCCGGACTTGGCACCTCGAGAGGGCGGTCCTTGTGCCGTCTTGGGGTTGACTGATTTGGTCTTGGGACTTTGGGACCGTTGGCCGCTGTGTTTGCCACGGCTAGTTCACTGCCCACAACAGCCGTTGTTTTGGTGCCGACGGCAGCCATTGAGGTGCGTCGGCAGCTGCTGCTGCTTGAACCTTCCGGTGCCGAACAAAGTGTTTCTGGGCGACGAACATCTGCGAGATGGACATACTTTCAACAAGAATGGTAATTATATAATGCAAAAAGAAAAGGATCAAATACATATGATTTGGTGTACGGCATACTCAAAGAATCCAGCGAGATTGACCATTGTTTTGTTCCTTTGTTTAAAGGCAGTTATTTGTTGCTGTTTGTGGACGTCTCTAATGCAAGAGTTTGGTCTACCGTGGTCTACCAGGGCCTAATTTGCCAGACAGCGTGGTGTTGTACTGCAAAAGAGACTACTCTTTTGTCAAAATTTCAGCTGGGTTTTGGTTAAGCCAACGGCAGCCAACCTCAAGATTCAATGTACAATTGCTTGCTCACCAGAGCTGGAATGCATGTCGAATTGTTCATGAGCTTTGGGATGCATTGTTCGGAGGCAAGCAGGAGTCCTAGCAGGAGCCCTTTCAGACCCTGGGAAGACATCCATGTCCGTGGGAGGTGAATTTGAGGCCCAACAAACGCGAGAAAAACCCGCTCTGTCATCCAAAACCCGCTCTGTCATCCCCTTGGGTGAGCTGGGCTGCGCTTTTGATGTCCGAAGCTTGGAGCGTCGGCGCCAGCTCCGTCGGCGCCAGCTCTTCAGGTTAGCGCAGCAGTCGGGTGTGGACCAACCGAAGAGCCGATCCGGAAGCGGCTCGGTGAAGCGAGTTGGAGGGTCACGAGCTCCGAGGTCATGAGATGGAAGAGATTGGTTCCATACTGGTCCATACTAGTTAAAAGATGTTAAAAGAGATTGGTCCATTGGTTCTCTTCAGAAGCAATTGGTTCCATTGGTCCATGTGGGAAGAGATTGGTTCCATTGGTCCATGGTCACTAGGCATTGGTCCATTGGTTCTCTTCAGGTCCATTGGGATGCTCCTCTCTTCGCACATCAGAACCGTCCCAACGGAACCGGAGCGACGGAACCGGGAACCGCGGTCGGTCCGAAACTCGGCGCGTCGTTGAAGCTGTCAGTCGGGTGTCACAAGAACGGGGGGGGGGAGTGCAGATTTCACTCTGGGCATCAGATGGAATCAGTGTTTGTTGCCTTCAGGCAAAAGGAAGGACACCTTTGGACGCATTGAAGATAAACCAACCCTAGACCCTAGGCGACTCCACTCACGCAAGGGAAGCAGTTTTGGGGAAACACTAAGAACCAGTCCGAGAAGTTCTTTTCCACGGATGTGAAGCGATCCGGTGTTTCTTCGGTCCATCGCGTCGTGTCCTCGCTTCAGTCCCACGGTCGTCCCCTCAGGTTTCGCCAGCGAGGAGACAACTTTGGACGACAGGCGGAACCTGTTGTGACCTGTGAAACACACCTGACCCCCTTTGTCGCAGTGCATTTGGGCGAGAGAGAGAGAGAGAGGGAGGGAGAGAGGGAGAGAGAGGGAGAGAGAGAGAGAGAGAGGGAGGGAGGGAGGGAGGGAGGGAGACGGTTTGGGAATCCACCAGCCACCCGGCTTGGACGTCCACCTCGGAGCTTCGCCTTGATGCTGCGCCACGCCGGTCGGGTTGCAGCATCCGAACTCGGGTCGGGTGTCCAGACGGTGTCCCGGCCGGAGCGTGCAGTCGGTCGGTACCCACGCCGTGAGTTGGGGTGGTCTGAGACGGCTGAGGAAAGGAGGCCTTTTCGACCCACAGGATGCCCCAAAGCTACTTGATTAATTTTGATTCTCTCTCTGGTTTGTTGGTCTAGTTCTATTGACTCATGCTGATGCTTCTCACATTTTAAGACGGAATCGACCTCTCACACTTTTCCTTGAATACTTCCTGTGCTGCCTATTTCACGCTGCCCAGTGCGGAAGAAGAGGTTTGACATGGTATCACCCATAACCATCACCACTCTTGAAATCCACCGTTTCCTGATGACTTTTTGTCCAAAGGGCAACAACTTCCTTCCGCAAACTTTCGCCACTTTTTCCGCCGCTTCGGCTCTGGCAGGTCTTCTAGGAGCTCCTCGCGTGACCACTCGGAACAATGGAGCGGGGATGAGAGGTCAGGGAATCTCCGCTGCGTCCGGGGGCGCGGGGGAGGTCGTTGGGGTCACAGGGTGCAGGCGTTAGTAGACGTGCAGGATATTGCTACAGACTGACGAAGCGCATGCAAAAGCTGGCCACCTTACCAAAGTGTGCGGCATGCTATGTTTTTGGTCTTCTAGAATGGCGAACACAAGCACGTTGTGCAGAATGTTTGTGCAGAATGTCTTCAATCTTCGGGGAAACACCCAGCTAGGATCAACGTCATCACCGGAATGGCTTGAGCTGTAGCTGCTATACAATATATATTATACATATATGCTGTAGGTCTCCAAGCATTTTCCTTGGATCATCTTGGATCCAAGCTTGATTTGTTTCCCCTAGGTTCTTAACAGGGCATCGTTTGAATCATTGGAATCAGGCCGGGGATCCACTTGGATTTCAGGCATATGATGGAATCAACCTCTACACTACACTGGTGACGCTAGTGATGGTAACTAGGCATCGAGGGGATATTTCAAGGGCGGTCATCCTTTTCTGCAATATTTTTGTGCACCTTTTGTTAATTTTTGTGTGCCACAAAAAACCGCGGTTGAGTGAACAGTCAACTTGAAAGTTGGTGAAGACAGCAGGAGCTCTACGAACTCTTTGCAGAGGACCGCCAGGCGCTGCTCGTGGGACCGCTGGTGCTTTGAGCGGTTCGCGGTCTGGCTGAGTGGGTGGTGAAGCGGTGGTGAGGCGACTTGAGGTGCGTTTTCTTTGGACAAAGCACGGACGATTGTGACTGGATGACACGGTTGAGGCATAAAGGCTGAAGTGGACGACACGTATCAGGACAGATACAGTAACTAGGTACACGGCGGATAGACGGCCGTGGGGTGATGAAGGATGGTCGTGGGGTAATGGTAATCCATCCTAAATATGCGTAATTCCATTAGGAATGATGTGAGCGACACTTCATCATTGGAATCATTGTGAATTCCATGCAGATTTCGATAAAGTCAGAGTTTCGTTGAGGCGAAATGGCGATTTCGAAGCATTTTGGAAACTACGCAACTACTTTTGCCGTCATACATTTATCAACTTTGAATATAGTGAGTATGTAATGAGTGATAATGCGTCCTTTGATATTTGATAGAACGACTTGGAGTGATGGTTTGGCTCCAGTTGCGACACAGGGCACCGCCATCCGATCCTCCCGGTCCACCAGAGCAAGTCCAACTTGCTCCTAGTAGCGATGCCCACAGTCGTACTTAGCGGTGGAACTTTCCACGGGTCTACCTCAAACCATGCTTGTAAGGATTCGGGGAGCTGATCCAACCCCCTAACCTCAACAACAAAAGAAAAGCCAAACCTAAAGCGGAAACACAGGAAAATTCCGCCATATGAGCAACAAAACTGCATCCGGATGAACGACCAAACACGTACCTTTCGTGATCTTTTGACCAATCCGTCACATGTCCCAAACACTCCATGTATGGCATATTTACCTACATTGGAGTGGCTTCAGGGGTCAAGGTAGGTAAATATTACATACATGGAGTGCTAGGATATTGGAATATTGTGGGGCTAGTCCTGCAGGATGATATCTAACTTAGGTTAGATATGAATAAATCCAGACGGGTTTTGAACACGCAGGTGTGCAAGTATATAAACATGTATGCGCAACACAGCACAAGTACTAGTATTGTGTAGCGTCGAAGAACCAGGGTGGAACCAGGGGTACCTCGTCCGAATGTAACTCGCAAGAAAATAGACTGAAATAGATAACATGCTACGCCACAGGTGTGCTAGTTAGCCCCACCCACCCCCCCCCACCTAACCCCCACCCCCCCAAAAAAAAATCCCACACGTAGTACTGTAGAAAGGAAACTATCAAAGCAATGTAAGAAATGCCCACGGCCGTTTATCCGCCGTGGGCCAACTACAATAAACTACTTTTGAGGGAAAGTGCAGCAACTGAGGATTTTGAGGAAGCTTCCATCAACCCTTTGTTCCACCGTCATTTGGAGAACTGCCTCGGACCTGGAACCAGGCTTGTCGACATTTCCGATGGCGACTCCGACACAGATAAAAGGCAGGAAGTCCAAGACGGAGATCCAAAGATTGGAAAACCTTTGAAGGCTTTGACACATGGCTCATGACTCGGTGGTTGGCGGTCTATCTTTATACACATGTGCTGTAAGATGCTCCTGTTCATAGCGCTTATTGGCTCCGCTATAGTGGATCTTATCTACGGAGTCATTGAGATGGGCAGCTGAAAACATCCTCCAACACATGTCACATGGCTGCTTGGGGCCCAAAGGACGATCGGCTGACTTGTGTAGTGCAAGGAGGAAGAAACTAGATGTGGAGGCCATTACTACTAGTAGCAAGAAGCTACTAGGGTGGAGGCCATCGCTAGTAGGTTGGAGGCTATTGCTAGCAGGTTGGAGGCCATCGCTAGTAGGTTGGAGGCCATCGCTACTAGGACAGGGAATGACATTGAAATCGCCCCTTTTTGGACATGTGGAGTAGATGGACATGAGAGCTGAGAGCCACAGAAACGAGAGGTCCAAGGCACGGTGTCCCTCGAAAACCCCGAGTTACGCGCGCAAATCGACCCGTCGTTCCT